ATAGTCACGCTATATCGCGAATTGAAAGAAGTTTGGAACTGTAAACCGCTGAACTCTAACGCAGTAGCTGAATAGTTAACGTGTTAACCTCAGTTCTATCCCTAGCCTGGTCATAGTTGCGTTTTTCTAAGGATTCGTACACTAGGAAGAAACAATTTTCCAGTGCTCCCAGGTTTTCAAAGGTTCTCCAACTGACATCAGTCCATAGTGAATACTTCTTTAAAGTTAAAATCCCCATTAGTCTCAAAAACTCACGTCATTTGTTTCAAATTCTTCGATGTAGAGTTTCGATGTTTTTAAAAAAATGAGGAAGTGAGTAAAACTTGTGATTGACAGCGTTAAGTCAACTTTATTAATTAGTGGTTACAGTGATGAGGACTATCACTCGCGAAAGCAATGGAACTACTATTCAATATTTGGCTGTTTAGATCAGTTGCAGAATAAAAATCCTAAATGGAAACCCTGAAGATACAGGTAAGAAGTAGACTATGCTCACAGTTTACTGACCTTTGGACTGACAAGGTTTTTAACTCTGAATTCCTGTCAGCTTCAGTCGTTATGATTCTAAGTGAATCCCTGAATTAAGGAAAACACACTTTACCTCAAAAATAACCCCTCTTTCTGCTTCGAAAAGTCAAACGGGGAAGGGATGAACATATTTTTGGTAGAAGAAAATATTATCAAGATAATATTCGATAGAATTTGGTCACAAGTGAGGACTAAACAACATAAAATTGCCTACTGATTAGTGATCAATCTACGTATCAAATCCAGTCCTATAGAAGGTCAATTGCTGCCTGAATAGTTTACTAATGGCGCCTTTGACTGTAGCACTTGGGGACAGAGTACTGACTTTCAGAGGGGACATCAGTTCCGTTGAGGTTGTGGATACATTTTACTGAAAACTACCGACAAGTAGGAAAACTAGATCAGACAGGATTTCCTGTTGTATACTTCTAATCAACTGAAATCAATCAACACTTACTGAAATTTTGTTTCACGCCATGTTTTCACTTGGTTTCTTAGAGAGAAGGGTAGTTAGAAATAATCTTTACCGCATGTAGACAGGTTAATGGTTTAGTTGAAGTAAAAAATAATACTTTATCAAGGGATAAACGATGATGGTTGTCGTTCATAGAGAGCTACATTTTCCTGTAGAGATTAGAATAACGGAACAGACAACACTAAATTCATATTATAAGCTTTAGCTGAAGTCTGCTTCGCAATATTGCCTTTCATTTGGCTACTAGATGACTTTTGTTTCTCAAAAAGTCACTGTCTTTGTCAGGTGACTGTTAACAACCTCTACACTTCTGCATCAAACTGAGATAAAGTGAATTTTTAATGTTCATCATCTTCGAGTTTAATTGACATTCATTCTGCATTTGAAAGCATACTTCAAGTCTAGATGCCATTACACCAGAATCATTTCATCAACTATTTGAAATTCAGATAGAAAAACCAAATAAATTGTCATCATAAATATCCAGGGAATATCGTGGTATCTGCAGAGGAGCCCATATCCCAACAAACGTGGAACAATTCTATTCAATAAACAACGGAGAATTAGAAGCATATCAACAAATAGTAGTAACTAATACCCATTGTACAAGAGATGGCTTTCATACCCCAGTGGCTTAGTGGATTACGCTTCGCGTTTGAAGCGGCGGGTACGAGGTTCATGTCTCAGTGGGAACAACATCACCCACTGAAGTGCAGGTACATCCAGCTGATGAGTTCAAAATATGGCGAAACAGGCTTACTAGATTCTTTTGCTAGCCATAATCAAGTGAATTATCAGAGCATTTAAAAGATATGATTTCATAGTGTAAGCAAAGTGATTAGTTTAGGCAACCCTGTGTTCCACAAGATCCTTTACGGACTGAACAAAAGCTCATTTACAGTACCCAGACACTAGACAATGATAATCGTCAGATGAATGATTATGAAGTTAGATGTGTTGTGATATTATGATGCATAAAATGGGAGGGTCACTTTGAATAGCTGAATTTGAACATGTGCTACGGGTCACTGGGGAAACTCTTGTATGTTTACGAACCATTCACTAATCACAGTCAGTTGTCCATTTAATTACAATTTTTCTTATTTTATAAAATGAAGTGCTCCTGGCCTTCATTGTCATACAGTAGACACAGAAAATGGCATTTCCTGGAATAATTCCAAGTTTACCATTACTACCTTTATACTACATAAAAACTCCATGCTTATGGAGCTGTCACTTGAAAGGCAAAAATTCAATAAATGTTTCTACAACGACTGATCACAAAAACCTAACTTATTTGGCTTAACCTATACCAAAATGTTACCAATAAGATCATTTCTGAAACCCATAATATAAAGAATAGCACGTAACGTGTATACAAAGGTATTTCTTAAAATATCACTTCGTATAACAGTCAATTCTTGACATCTTTTGTTCCCTAAGCTTTAAAGGTTGCCTTTATAGCTAGATAAAAGTAAATGTTGTTGGTTTTTCAGCGTGTTATCAGTCGTAAACTTCATTTTCTTTTGAACCAGATATACCAGATCCTTTTATGAAAGATGGATAATTCTTACACTGGTATTAACCTTTTCATATCAATATTCACTAAGTATAGATGAGTAAGTCACTCTCAATGAATTTGAAGTGTTGACTAGACAACATTTATCACTAATATTATTTTTTGCAGTAGCAAATTTATTGAAATAACTTGGAGATGTTCAGTAGTTGGTTGTGTTTGTCAACACTTTTACGTTTTCTTTCTTTTTTAATAAGTATTTGAATATTCTCACAACTCTGTCCTATTAAAGGTTATCATATTTTTTAAGACAGTTCGTTTAATAAATAGCTTATCGATATCTAAGCCAAATGATCAAATTAGCAGTGAAAATTATTAATTAAACTACTCAGTTGACATGCCGTTCATTTATGGGGCGCTAATAAATACAATTTGCCAAATATGACTACCCTTGATAATTTGCCTTATCAAGTTGGTATTCAACATAGACTGACATCATTTGGAGGAACACTGCATAGCACTTTCGTCTTAGTGTGAGACTTCTCATTAAATCCTCACAAAACCTCAAATTCAACTGACCTAGTTCTCATTGGTGACTGGCTTCAAGAGGTGATTTCTGAAGTTTCAATAAGGAGCCGTGACTGGTAGGGTAAACCTGGCACTAGTCAGCACAAAAACTCAATGATGAGATAAGGTGATGGTTACACCATGTAGTGAACTGATAGAAGTTAGAAATATGGATCATTGGATTTCAATTCAGTGACTGAATGGTAACGTGCTGGCCATGGAACCTGAAGGTCCTGGGTTCAATTCCTGGTGGAGTGGGGTCATGGGTATACACTTCTGAGGAGTACTATATTAGGACGAAACAGCTGTCCAGTGCTCCCAGGTTTCCAGTATTCCTCCAAGTGATGCCAGTCTATAATAAATACCAACTTAGAAAATCACTAAATCCCCATAAACCTGCCAAATTAAAAATCTGCTTTACGATTAATCATCTGACCTTTCTGTTGAATTTCAGCTAATTTGTTCGATTCAAATTACTAAAAAGTAGATGAACTCATACAATATACAGTTCAACAAAACAACTGATTACTAAAATAGTATTGAAAATGTTCACCAAAGATCTCTAATCGTCTGGTTACATCTAAGCACACAGTTAGTCATCTCTGGAAATTGTCGGATTGAAATTCATCAAATTTTGAGATGGTGGAGAACATTTATAGTTCATGAAGATGATTTTGATGGTGTTTTGTTCTCCCAGCTGGATGGTTTAATCGCGAAGTTTTCATTGTCATTCTAGACAACATCATCCACAGAAACGTTTGAAGCTTGTGCTGCTGACGATGTTGTCAAAAATGACAATGGAAGCTTCACAATTAAACCATCCACCTCAGAGAACATATCACCATCAAAATTCATCAAATTTAACGGGAATTCCCCTCGGATTTATCAGCTATCCCATACAAAGTGATTAGACTGCTTCTAGACTTGCTTGCGTTTACTCTTTACTTTGAGAGAGTAAATATCATTCTAACGACCAGACCTATTCTCTACGAATAAGACTTTTAACTGGAGTTATTCAGCCACTACTCTTGAACCAATTTTCCTCCGGTCGATACTGGCCCATAAGATGAAAACCATCCCATCCCTTCCATGCATACTCCTATTGTTTTATAGTAAGTTGGCTTACCATAATTATTTCATATTTCTTAAGCGTTTTACAGTGAAAGGTCGTTGGAAAAGAGCTTTGTATTTTGTCCTTGTGTTAACAGCTTTGCAATATAAGATTTAAAAAATATTGCTGCTACTTATATTAATGACTGGTAGTAACTGGCAGCGGAGTCCAGGATACACGTTTCATCCTATTCAAGACTCTTTGGCTGGATGTACCTGCCTCCAGGTAACTGGTGTTGTCTCTACTGACTCAAACTCGGGATGAATCATTGCAAACGCAAAGAGTCATCAACTAGGCACTGAGTCATGATAGCCATTTCTTGTGTGACGGGAACACTGTAGTTACTTAATGTTATGGTTCACGAATATTCACCGTTGATTGCCCAGAATCGATAGACCACTATACTCCACCCATTGTACAAGCAGTGGTTATTGTGAATCACTGGCCTGTTGGATAATGTCCTGGGATTTGATATGGCTGACCCTAAGCTTCAATCTCAGTTGGAACAGCAACATCCAATGATTCAGGTACATCCAGCTGACGAGTCCCAAATAAGACGAGACCCACGCTCACTAACAACAGCGAGATACTCGTGTCGGAGCCCATATTGTAGTAATGGTCGATCAGTATGGTCCAACCAACGATAGAAATTTATAGTCTATAGCATCAAAATTATTTCTGTTATTATTATTCGCCTTTCTAAATTGAAGTGAGCTAAAATCCCGATTCGTTTTCATTATCTACCTCTCTGTTGTTACTGGCTTAATTATGAAGATTTTGGCAAATTAGAAAACAAACTCATTAAACGTAGATACCTATTGTTTATTGTGTAATTTTTTTAAATGATAACACAACTGCATCACATAGTAATTAATAATAGTAATAATAGTAACAATAACAGTAAGAGTCTCTTCTCATTGAGGACATCAACTGAAGTTGTCATCATACGAATGATAATTATGGTTCAAGCGATTGTTTATTAGTATGGGAAGAAACTTTTAGCTAACCATAAGAACTAGTGGTGAAAACGTTGAGACGACTATACAGACGCTGAAGATATGTTAAAAATTAAAAATAAATGTATATATGAAGAATAAGTATTTTTATATACACAGTGTGATAAAACAAAACTTTATAACTGAGTTATAATATTGGTAGATATCACTTGTTTGAATAACGCAGCCATTAATCTAGACCATATGATTATACTACTTTCAAATGAAATTAGTAGTATTTAACTGAGTATATAGTAACTAAGAGAGTAGTTACTAAATTATATTTCGACAACAATAAAATAAAATTATACTTAAGAATCATGTTCTTTAACTGATTTTTCTCATGGTAATCAATTGGAAAATTATAGTTTTGAAAGTAAGGAGTTGTTTCCCATGAACAAAAAGGAATCCAATTTTGTAATATGAATAAAGTGTTCATAAATGTGTCTCTTAAAAAAAATGGGAATTCATATGAGTAGTCCATTGTCCTCTGAAAGAAGGTTGATGATAAATGTAAGTCTTCATTTGCGTGGAGTTGACCATTCGCCTCCCTGTCTCTCTCTCTCTCGCACATATATGTGTACAATAAACTTTCATTTGGCCATTTGTTTTACTAGCTATTTTTTGCCGAAATGGGATTGATTTGAATTTTGGCGACACGCCTTGATTAAGTTTATTAATTCGTTAAATAGAATAATAAAATGCAAGGCAGTGGTCATCAAATAAGTTATGTTTTCAATAAAAATAGGGGGAAAAAACTTATCATTATTACTATACTTTTTCAATCCACCCTAGAAATCTGCCTCTCATTTCGTAAGTATTTTTACCATTTTGATTTCCAAATCTTCGACATTCGGTGATGAATAAAGGTTTATTCTGCGCCAAAGGTTTGATGCTCTTTTACAGGGATAGTGTTTTTTGCCAGAAATAAAAACAAAGTGAGTCTTTTAAAAAATTCTCTTCATGCTGCTTTGTACTTGAAGTTAGTTGTAATTTGATAAGCTTAAAAAATAATCATTTTCATGGATCTGATGAGTTTTTGCTTTTTAGCACTGCAAACTATTGTATACTGTTAAATCAACATTGTACACAAGTACGTTAACTTAAAGGGAGATCATTTATTTCCATATTTTTTTTAATTATGTGCAAATATCACAACTAAATTATCAGAAGAAGAATGAATGTCAAGGGAATGCTCCTAATTCACAATGAGTTGTTGAATGGTGTTGCTGATGGTTTTTTTGTTGTTGCTGCTGCTTTATCGAATCCAACGTTTGATTCTGAGGATAATTCCCAGGATAAGATCCACTTTCAATACTTACTCTTGGATTTGGTGAATTTGGTGCCAATGGATCAGAACAAACTTTTATTTCATGACGATTTAATAAATCGATTCCATTAGTTTGTCGTTCTGATGATATCAGTCTGGAGTGATTAATGGTATCAGATAGATTGTTATCAGTTTGATCAGATTCATGTTTGTCAGATTGATTAAAGTATGAATGTGAAATACTTCCACCACCACCGCCACCACTGCTACTACTACTACTGCTACATCCCATTCGTGTCATCTGTTGATGATTGTATAAAGAGGTTGAATTAAAAATTGTCGAACTGCCATCCAGTAGATTCGGTGTAGATCTTAAGTGTGAATGCCATTGTATCAAGTTATCATTAGGTGAATGATGAACTATATTGGATGTTTTTACTGTTAGCGGCACACATTCTGCATTAGTGTTGTTGTTGTTAGTAGTAGTAATAGTGTTACTTTGCTCATCACTAGAAGAATGATTAAACATTAGTCCAGATGTACCATGACTAGATTTTTGATACCTTGAATACTTTTCATTCATTTGATTGTTTAATGAAGATGATGTTTGCTGGGTGTAAGGATCACTTGTGAAATTGTGGGAATTCATTTGTTGGGTTTGTTGTTTTAAAAAGTATTGTTGTTCTAAATGATGAGAATGCATTTGTGCATGATAAGGTGAATGAAGTTGGAAAGAATTATTTAACAAGCTTGAATGTTTGATATCATCACCAATGTTGTTTGTTAATCCGCCAAATGTAGCATGAAAAGCTTTTGTAACATCGGTAAAATTACCAGCTTCATCAGAGCTGTCTACCTCAGTTCTTGATATATCTTTATGCTTAATTCCATTCAAAATATTACCATTGGTGTTACTGTTATCTGTGAAATAGCCAGTTAAGTATGGGTTACACATGGAGTTTGGGGAATTCGGTGTCATTGTTTGTAGACCACGAGTAGTACATGCAAAATGATTTGCTGCAGCGGCAGCCGCAGCAGCTGCACCGAATCGATGTAAAGGACTCTTCATTAAATAGTCAACAGGTAGATCAGATAAATCGGAATAGAAACCGAATTTATGCTTTTTTGTCTTTTGTGAAACTTTACGATTGCGTGTTTGAATTCCGTCCTTTTTCATTGATATTGGTCTTTGAATCTATAAATTGTTTAAGAAAAGGAAAAAAATTTTTAACAGCGTTCGGAAAATTAAGAGTTAAGAGTGATGTAACTCATTTTTAAATATTATAACTCAGTAGCCTACTAGATAACAGTGACATTCGAAGAGACGGTTGATGGGTTCAAGTCTCAGTCGGAACACCAACATTCACTAGGATGCGGATGTATCCAGCCGATAAGTTCTAATTAGTACGAAATGAGTGTCAGTCGGTACCTATGCTTAATGCTAAGAAATAAAATCATCGGGTGTGTCAAACAGCCTCTAAACAGAAGCTGATCAGTTTGATTCAAGCCAATTAACAACGGAAAATAACATATCCTAATGCAAAGATTTGATATATGATGTCGAGTGTCACTTAATAAGAAGCATTAACGTCACCAAGAATAGTACGCTGCTGTTTTGCTACCACTAAGACTACTGACCATATCACCTACTTGATAAAATAGATTTTTGTGTCTGTTAAACAGTTGAAACTTAAAAGTTACAATAGTTACCATAGGCTGGCCGATTTGTATATTAACGTGAACCTCTATCTCTGGATTAATTTCATTTAGTCATAAAATGTTATGAGCTTGTGAACCAACATCAAGTGAGATGACTGGGACATGTACTACACAAGCCGAGTCACCGCCTATCTCTAAGTCCTATGCTAAGTGAAGTTAGACTGGATTGGAAGAGGGTTCAAGGTGGCCGGACAAAAACGTGACATCATTAAGTGAAGTCATTGACTGCTGGTCTGAGTTGTCTAGGGAGATGCAGACTGTCTGTTGAGATGACAGGAATTAGTGGTTGAGGACTCTTGATGAAATGGCTGAGAACCAGTCACAATAGCGCAGAAATATTCACTTCTTGACGTCTTCTAAAACTTGAGTACTTTGAATGACCTTTATTTTTATCTGTCTATCTATTTAAGGCATAAATATGGATGCAGTTTCATATCTTTAAAACTGCATTAGTACCACGAAGTTTCTATAAAATGACAGTATGTATAAAATATCAGAAATACTGTTTATTTTTCATACATTTTATCATCCACAAGACTTTTAATAACAAGACTAGCAGGGAAGTGAAGTATATAAAAAGTGCTTTCTCAAGGTCCTTGTTGATGCAGTGTGGAATTAACTTACACATTGAAATCAAAATGCTTTTGTGGGACCAACAAAGATAATAAGACTTAAGTAAACACATACATACCTATATATAAATACACTAGGCAATACGACCATCTGTTGTATAGTAGTTATAAGGATATCAAGAGTCTACATGATACGTAATTTATTGGTTGGTCTTATCTGAGGGTTTGTGGAGGTTTATTGATTGATTTTAGGTTGGAATTCATAATGGACTGACATCAGTTGCAGAAATATTGGAAACCTGTGAGCACTGGACAGTTGTTTTACCCTAGTATGGGTCCCCTCAGCAATGTGCACCATGACTTCTCCCCATTGGGGATAGAACCCAGCACCTTCATGTTCTGTGACCAGCATGCTAACCTTGAGCCAAGATGAATTCCAACATAAAATCAATTCATAAATCTCCGCAGACCTCCAGATAGAATTAATCAACCGCTCATTGGTGACTAGCTTCCAGTAGTGATTCCCGAAGTTCCAGTGAGAAGTCATCATCAGTGGGGTCAACCAAGTAGAACATGAGGACAGTTACTCAACGACGACATTGGGTGTAGATTGCATTATATCGTGAACTGATAGAAGTGTGAACTATGACCTGTTGGATTTCCATCCAGTGGCTGAGTGGTAACTTGCTAGCCACGGAACCTGAAGGTCTTGGGTTCAGTCGCTGGCGTGGTGGGGTCATGGGTGTGCTTTGTTGAGGAGTTTCATACTTCAACGAAACAGGTGTCTATGTCTTCCCGGTCTCCAATGTTCCTCCAAATGATGTCAGTACATGGTGAATTCCAACCTAAAATCATTGATTGATAGTTGAGTATCTATGTGACCCAGCTCAGCACTAAACATAATAATACTAATGTCATGAGAATTCACAAGAGGATGCATTCAATTCAAATAGATAGGTGAAGACTCCTAAGTTATTTATACAACCTATAAGACAGAAGAAATAGTAACATGCCATGTGAACCTGGTCATCCAAATAATTTTCTGTTTTAGGTGAAAGCCCAACGAAAATATGAAAACCTCTGACTTATATTCATTATAAAAAAAGTAGGTTTTTAATGCCAAGAAAAACCTCTTTAATAACATGATAAATGTATTGGATACCGGAAAGGTATGTCATAAAGTTAGCTTTATTGTTAACTAAGGGAAAATATAGGTGAAGCCGTAAAAATGAGAATTGTATATAAATCCTTTTTAGTTTTTCAAGGGTAGTATATCAAGAAGAATTTCCCACTCCTTTTTCTAAATGGAAGTAATAACCACTGAAATAAAAATAAAACAGGTTAACAGAAAAATTGGAACAAACCCGTTGAGTCACTCTCACACTACTACTACTACTACTACTACTACTACTAAATCTGTATATATACCCTCAAGATAAATGCTGACAACTGAATTCTCCCCTTTCACCCTACATTAATACAAGTAGGAATGTACAAAAAAGCACATCATAATTGTAAATGAGTTTATTCATAGTTGTGTTGATTAAATAAAGATTTTGGCGCCATAACTTGTCATCACTTTGTGTGTTACCTTTTTAAAACATGACAACCACAGATGGAGAAATGAGTAGTAGTAGTAGTAGTAGTAATAATAATAATAATAATAATAATAATAAAAGCCCGGAGAGATTGGGCTCCATTCAAAATAATTCAATCTGTTGATGTATTACCGAATTAGTATACTTCTACATCCTCTTTTATTTTTTTTTCTCCTCTGGTTTCTTCATTAAAAATGTTTACAGTTGTCAAAAATATAACGCCAAATAATCAAACATATGCTGAAGTGTTTTGTATGGAATCATCTCTAGTATTATGCTTTTCAAACAGTAGAAGATGTTCCTTTTTTTTAAAAAATATCCCTACAAGCATTGAGCAAAGAGTTAGGAAGATATGCAAATTGACAATAAAATCCCCATCAGCTAAGTACAACTGATAGGATATGATAACCTTTTAATACTTAATTGTATTTCGTAGATCAGATGTTTTGATTTTATGAATCTGTGAACAATCAATGATAGTCAAGTGAGACGTAGAACTTAACATGATGAATCATAATAACAATTGATATTATAAAATGATTGAAGGAACCAGCAGACAATTGAACATTGATCAATGGTTTGTCAAATTCTATTCACACATTGAAGTCGCTTAAAAAGAATGCATAGTTAAAGTAATCTTAAAAACATCCATACATTTCAATACTAACATCAGTCTTAAGGATTATATAATATAACGACGTTTGATTGTTACTGGTAGTTAAACATAGAAAGCAAAGAGTGTAGCTCTTTCTGTATTCCCAATACGATGGATAATATCATAGTGTTTGGAGGGAAATACTGTCGTCAGCTAGCTTAGAAATTTGAGCAGTTGGAAGGTAGAATTATCAAGATAGATGAAACTACACTCTCAGACACAATCAAAAACCAACCAGAAGCGGCGTAAATAGCTCAGTGGTGACATCACTGACGACAACACTGGTTGATGCGAGTTTAAATCTCACAGGTGACATCATTTCCCTCGAGGTTGCAGATTCGCCTTGCTGATTACTACCAACAACCACCTACTAATCTCCTCCAACCAATTAACATCTTATACCCTTACGTGAGGATGCTGAATTACTTCTTCTTCTTTTCAAAACTATCTTGCCCGTTGTTCTTTAAACAGGAATCAGTTGTTCAGATGATCGTTTTACTGTGGGCATATCGGTGGGTTAGTGAACGCAAATAAAAGCATATATGTTAAATTGTCACGACAGTGTGATATCTGTATAGGCAGTAAAGTAGAAGAGTGATAATCAAAATTATGACTGTTTGAAACTAATACTGAGACGTTCTCTTTTTTCCTGTCCATTATACGATTAAATGAAAGTAGTAATGAATAATACCATACTAGGCGAGACTTAGAAACCGGCGCGAAACTGCGAACCGCAGCTACCGAATAAATGTCATATTCAGGGCGGTTGGATAGTTTCGTGAATTGATTCAACATTTTTAAGGACTAAAACCTGATCCGATGTATGAAGAATTTGGCTCATGAGGTGTCAAAAAACGTTGGCAAATTGTAATACTGGTCAATAACTTATTAGTTTACAGCGGAAGTTCTTTTTATATGATCAATTTTCCTTTAGCAAGACATATATTTATTGCTAAAATAGCCTACTTATTTGTATGTTCTTAAGAAACCTCAACTCGTAAACAGCTACTTAGTCCCAAAACAGCTAGTATTAAAATACAGATGATAAACATTTCTTAATTGTGTTACATCAGCTGAAGAGCCTTAGTATTAGTTTGACAATGATTTGGGGTGGGATGTTAAATAACTCTAAATAATTATTTTGAGGGGGTTGTGGAGATTTGGAAATATTTCAAGTTGTTATTCATCGAAGACTGACATCAGTTGGAGGAACAAAGGAAACCTGGGAGCACTGGACAGCTGTTTCGTCCTAGTATGGGACTCCTCAGCAGTGCGCACCCACGACCCCACCAGCAGGAATCTAAATAATTATGTTTTCTTTCTGAATGCATGTGTAACTAATTTTGATAACATGTTTGTAAACATCTTAAGTTCTTCAGTACTTGAATATCTAACTAGTACTAGTACTCATAGAAATACTAATGGATGATAAATTTCTGTCTAGTTTTGGATATTTCAGTAAGACACTTTCAAAATTCCATCTTGAAATGATTGATAAACTCTAGGTTTAGTTGTTGGCTTATTATCGTCGACCGAACAAACGAACGAACAGACAGACAAACGAAATCCACTCAGCAATCTTGTGTGAATTCATGCGGTAGACAAGAAGCCATACCTATTGTGTTAGGGCTGATGATACTTAACTACCTGGTTGCCCAAACATTAGTAGATGGAGTGCTGCTAACAACTGTAACCCACTTGTTGAAAGTCAACTCTCTAAACCGATGAGCCACAACTCCATTATCATCTACGCAGTGAAGAATTATATATGATAAATGTTGAACATTATCACTTATGAACCTTTTAGCAATACAATCTAATACTTGGGGAATACATAGGCCAAAAACTAATGATAACGGGATGATATTCGAAATGGTAACTTGTAGATCAATTAATTAGCCAATTTCTAGACCTTTTATACAAGTAGAATTGGTTCTGTAGACGATAATTGCATAATAATAGATTAATTGTTTTTATTCCCCTTCACATATCAAAACTGCGTTTTCAAGTGATGAAATGCGCACGGGCACATGCACAGCAAAACAAACAAACAAACACTTGATACTATTCTGATCACCTGATCATTGATCATCTACCCTATTTAGAAGATTGTTCAAATGTGAACGCTAAACATATAGATTATTTGATTGTTCCCTGTCACCCCTTTTCTTCCCTCCATCATTTAATTGATTCACTGAGTGACTTCTACCATTAATATAACTTTAAAAATTACTGCTCATCATCCTATTTGTATTAATAGACACTTGATTTAATAAACTCCTTCATTATCAATAGTTTATTGCACTAATATCACAAATATTGGCAATTAATAAGGCTATTGTTAAGACCCCTTCTTAAGGCAATTGTCATACACCTGGTAACGGCGCCAAAAAACTCATTCTTATACAAGATACACCTCGACCTCAGTAGAATCTGTACACATTACCTATTTACTTGATTAAAACCTTCCCCCCACCCTCTGCCTCTCATATCCACTATCTTAATTATCATTGTTATTCGATAAGCCTTTAATTTACAATTAAGTTTTCCAATCAGTCAATAATAGCAGCCAGTATTAGTAGTAAGTCAGTCATCCAGTCAATCAACCTCACCAGCCTCTCTTCATCTCACTAGCTCATTTTCTCTGCTGAACAATAATTCTATTAGGTATGGCCCCGCCCAACATACACTAGGAAATTCATCTGAAATAATAATAATAATAATAGTGCTGCATTTAATTTAATACAAAAACAGAAAATAGTTAACTCCTCAATTCATTTTATCACACCATTGACTTTTTATAGTATACAATGCAGAGAAAAAACTATTCTTTCTCTACCCTACTACTCACTTTGAGCATTCATCATTAATCTCTCACTCTATATTCATTAATTCATCCATTCATGCACTCGATGTTCCACTCATTTCTACTTATATCACTGTCTCCCAGTATAGTTGGTGCGACGTGCCTGATTTGTGAAGTTAATATATGTACATATACGGTAGCATATGTTAAGAGAAAAAAACACTATAGTGAGGGAAATACTAACCCTGAAAGTAGCCATTCTCATCAAAGCAATAATTTGGTAGGAATCTGAGAAAAAAGCCTAAACGAATGAAGAATAAAAATACGAGAAATCAGTTCTTTCACATCTTGGTAATGTTTACTTCATTTTGTTCCTAGTATCAAAAATGAAGGTGAAGAGCGTCTGTAGTATGTGAAGATGTGTGTGTGTGTGAGTGAGAGAGAGAGAGAAAGAAAGAGTATCTGCGTATGTGGAACTCTCTTATGAAGTGTAACTCAAACAAGCCTTAATAAGTACGGTTATTAGTATTTTTATGAGAAGTTGATAAATGCGCTAAGTTAGTAAACAAACTACTAGCCTAGGTAATGTGGTACATTTCCTCTTGATGTATACCTACCAGACTAAGTATGATAAATGTTCAGAAATCAAGAGATAAGTAATTCCTATATAAGAAACAATCCTACGATTGTTCCATTCACCTTTACTCTGAATAATACTTTAACCAATTCATTATATGATTCTTGGAAGAATAAAGTATACTCAGCACTTTGATCAGTCAGCTGATGTTGAGCGGAATTGATGAGAATATATTAGGAGATATGATATCCCAGTCTACTGTATGCAAACAAGATAACAAATTTATTAGGAATTGAGATATGAAGAATGACTTATCAATGCTAAGTTCGTTAGTGAGTACCTAAAGTAAAGTTTTGCAATCGACTTACACTTGAGATTTGGCCAAATTTCTAATATCGTTATAGTAATACCATAAATTCCCTAAAAGATAAAAGAGGTGACTGATGTACCTTCAGCTGGTTACTGTGTGAAACTGTGGCACTTAAACTGAAGAACTGTGCATAGGAATTGTAGTGGAACTGCTGATACTGCTTTAGAAACAGGTAAAAGATGAGAGGAAATGCACCTTCGTTATCCAGCATCAGCATGTCATTACTTGTATTTCTTTCCTATTGGTAAAAATAATGTTTCACCATTACAATTAGAAAGTACTATGAATTCCTCCACGTACAACTTAAATGAAAAATCAGACTGGAAAAAGGTTACAGATGACCAGACTGAATAAAACACGGTATCAGTCCATGTAATGCATGACTGTCGATCTTAGCCAAGTAGGAAAATCTAGACTTCCCGTTTGAGGCACACATGACAACTTGTGGGTGAAGATTTTAAGGGGTATGATTTAAAATCAATTTCACTCGGTAAGGTGATTCTATCTTTCATCTTTGGGGCCTTCAACCTTCTGTGCTGCTATTCCATGTTACAAATTGATACCGATTAACTCAAAAATCTGGATTCAACCCATAAAATATCGCCCTCCTGTTCACTCTTACTAATAAAATATCATTATAGTTCTATTATCCCCTTCTTGGAGGTTGTGATAAGATCAAGTAAAAAAACACTAATCGCATACTTACATTGTGTAACTTGAAATACAGTCCGCATGCATTGCAGACTGGTTCACCGTTAGTATTTCGACGCCATAATGTTGTTGTTATTGTACGACAATTAGAACATATAGTACCAGTTCGTCTACTCGACGATTGCTATATAAAATAAACCAAAAGTTAGATGATTAGTGTTGCATTGTATACAAACAGCAGTGGATGCACCAGACTTATCATCATAATGAATACTGAGACGTAATAAATAAAGGAAGGGTAAAATTGTAAATCTGTAAAACATGGAACTGCATGCCTTAGTATTTTCAATGATTACGAGTTTTAGCCTTTGCTAAACTCGTACAAAGAACTTCACTGAACATCATACTTGTGGATTGCATTGCAGTCAGACAGTTAGATTAGTAGAATATAAACACAGTGAGTTATTTTACTAAAGTTTCATACAATAGCTCAGTAACCAAGTAGAATACATGTAGACATTGAGTGAAAGCAGATTACATAGATGTACGATTGTTCAGTAGTTACACTTATTCAATGCACAATATCCACCTGATAAACTGGAGATTATCATTTCGACCATCTGAGATACTCTTACCGTTTGATGATTGAAGTGAAGTGGAAACGTGGTCAGTAGTCGGATGTCTAAGTTAGCTCAGTTGGTAGAGTAACGGGTTGGGAACCCGTAATAGCTGGTTCGAACTATACTGTGGGCTAGATTCCCATTTCACCTTCAATCATCGCTCACTGTCAAACTAAAGTTTAGCTACATTTAGTGGAAAGTCTAGTTGTTAATTTCAACTTATGAACGTTCCACTTCAGTGTCAGAAATTGAATTACCATCAATGGTCAGTTGTGAACACATCAAATTCTTGAAAATTTTTTCTAATAGTACAGCTGGTTGTAGCTGAAAAGTCTGAAGAGTTACAGTAAAAACGGAGATCGGCAAACTGATATCAGATTAATCTCTAATATGTAACTCTATTCCATACTCCCAATAAAGCATTTTTCAAACTACAAATGAATTTTAGCGGCAAGTTTAACTCATACTATATTTTAAGATGGATAGATTAGTTAAACTTATCTAACCACTACTTTCAAAAATATTAGTTTGAATCTCACAGACAGTGAAAGTGTTCACACTTCTGAGAACAAACCATGGTCATGAGTTTGAATCGGAACATAACGCTTATTATCTAGATGAGGCTAAGGATGAACTATTCAGTATTTCACCAGAAGTGGACGTATGACGCTCCACAAGAATACACTAATTCTTTTTTTGCCATCCAAACAAGCAAACTTAATGGTGGCTAGCAGTAGAATCTAGAAGGCGCGTTTCATCCAGCTTAGAACTCATCAGTCGAGCTTGCTTCGACACCCGTGAATGATGCTGTTCCCACTGAGACTTCAACCCAACATTAATGACTTCAAAGGTCAAACCGTTATCCACCAAGCCACTAAAGCACGAGAACTAGGCAGTATGGAGACATTCTCATAGGAGTTCATATACCAATACAGGCCGTTTGATTCTACCCAAAATCACAGCAGGGAATTAAAAGTGTCAATACATGATCATTATGTATAAAGTTTATCATTTCGACTATCTGAGATTATTATTAGTGAGTGATGATTAAAGATGAAGTGAGGATCTGGCCCATAGAACGATTCTAACCAGCGAGTACTGGGTTTCCAACCCGCTGCTCTACTAACTGAGCTAACTAAGACATCCGACAACTAACCAAATTTTCAATTCAATCATCAAAGGGTTTTGTTCCGACTTTCGTAGGAATTAATGATGCTTCACTGTCGCTAGATAATACTCACGCTGGCTGCCCAGTCAAAAGTTCTCATCCAAGTCCAAATCCACTTGAATTAGTGAGGGAGAACAGCATATTGTTTACCATTTTAACCATCTAAGATGTCCGTGATTTAGCAGACTTCTTCTGATACTTGAACCTGTAGCTCAGTTGGCAAGTCACTAAATCAGTAACCCAGTGATCACTGGTTCGAGTCCTGACGCCGACCAAATTTTTATTTCATCTCTAATCACCCCCCAGTATAGGGTTTAGACAAAACTATTTTATGAAATCATTTTCTTCAAAACTTTATTATTTGCCTTCTTGTAATATCCTAGATGAAATTACGTAATCCTGGTAACAATTTGTCATAAAATTAAAAAAGGATCTGTCAATAAATTCATAAATTCTTACATTAGTTTCTATAATCAATGTGATAGCAAGTTCCTAGTCAAAAGCACTGAAATGAATTCGAGTACCAAAAATCTTATCTGACATTAATCCTGTCATAGTAACATATACCATTACCAATATAGTATTGGGAACATATCGTTCCCTCTAATGAAAATTGGCTGGTATAATTATTGACTCAACAGGAGAGTGAAGCATATTGATATCATTATATAACAGCTAGTGTTCAAATTTATGAAAGAAAAAAAAAGGCGTACTGATATTTCAATGATGTGATAAAAATATGCTTCCTATTGGACACATGTCAAATGTTTTAATCAAGCGTAAATTTGAAGCTGTATGATATCATAGTTGATTACAAAAACAGTTTATTGTTATTCATGATGTTCTCGATCTTGACTTTTAGTAACTAAATGGTTAAAAATTAATTTAAGCGGAAAATGCTATAGATTTGCAAAAGATAACCAAAATTAATGGCTTGAAAAATTACAAACTTCATTGTCTACCATATCGACTTCGTAGGATAACTTTTCAATCAGTGAATTAAAATTTTTAGGTTGGGGAACAAAAAACTCCTTGAATCGCTACATTCTACTTACCAAGGATCGAACCTTCAACGTCGATTAATTCCAACCAATTGTGAACAGAAATCATTATAGGTAGCCATTTGCATTTATGATTTCAGAAGTGGCAGTAATTCGTTTTCTGGATTGATAGTTAAGTTAAAGATGCACCTTAGAATTACCTTTATCCTATGAAGTTATTCTTTGCCTAACATTCTTTCAAAAATGAGAACTTATTGATAGACATTAATGAATGATACCAAACGTCTACAATCATAGTCTACTCTCTTCATATGCTAACATTCATGTTACAGTCAACAATCCACCCTGCTTGATAGATGAACACAGGTACCTACTGTAACTATGGCAAGCTAGTGTCAGTCAAATATACCTGAATAATCTATGAATACACATCAACAACAATTGCAAGTCATCTAACAGTTCATATAGAAAGACTGATTTCAGGGTAAAACAGAAAATATGTTCCATTCAATCCACTTTCTGTTGTAAATAATAGAAAAAGGAGTCGCGTTAAAGGGAAAACAAAGAAACGCGGATTGTAGCATAATTTATCAATTAACCAATTAATTCCCTGCTATTACCTGTAACATACTGCATACATACTATTTTTATTAATTTTTTCCTGAGTTGAAAGAATTTCTCAAGTCAAAATATACGGTTTACTGGAAGAAACAGTAGTTGTAAGAAAAATAACTATCCACTATAGTAACAAGAAATTAACCAAGTGGAATGCAAACAGACGCATGAAATATGTTCTAATTTACTTATTTAATTCACCTACACATGAAATATGTTTCTATGTTACTGTTGAAAAGGCATTTCTTTCACATAGGCTGTAAAATATGGTTACACGATTGTATATTTATATGATCACAATTACAGCAGTTTTCTTTCAAATAGATTTGTTAATCTTAGTAACTCAGTTGGTAGTGCACTGAGTCAGAAACTTGGTAGTCATTGGTTTGAATCCGACCATAGCCCAAATTTTAATTTCACCTTCATTCATTGCCCAGTATCAATCCTTTTGTATCTTTGATAGATTTTAGTTGATTGGAGTTAATCGGCAGGAAGTCTCTTGGCACTTATCAGTAAGGCGTATCTGAGATTTGAACCGGTGTCACTCAATGTAACAGTTAGCGATACTACAGCTGAGCTATGCGGACTGCAACTGGCCTCCTGTAAGAGTGGATTAGATGTATCGATTGATCGCCGGAGAGCAGTCAATCTCATGTTGTCTAGTCCTGAGTGCTGACCGATCGTTACCGATCACTTTGTAGTGTGGCCAACAAGCAAGGAGGCTCACTTTGATATGATTAACAATATGACCTGAACTGAGTCGACCTGCTGTAGGTTTGATCTAGCTTGAGATTTCTTCAGTTATCTCACTTAACTTATTTTAATCTACCCTTCATTTCTAATGCTAAAGCATTACCTACACGATAGACGTAGTTAGAAGTGTGTACAACCCCTTTCTGAGAATATCTGAATGACATCAGCTATCTTCGGCCCAATAACTCACCACAAAGCCTGGTTGTATGCGTTTGATTCTCAAACAGCTGAACGTCAGTAAAGATTAACAAACCAGTTTCCTTAAATCTTGTGGTTAGCTGGGATTCTTCAAGTATACTTAATTCCATTTCAATATTATTATTATTACACTAAGGCTGCAAACCCCCTCTGTCTTTTAAATCTAATGTTATCAACGGGTATAACTGGTGTGCAAATACAGACTGTTGTTTTAGCCAATATACAGCTTACAGACATTCAACTTCGACACTATAAATGAGACAGGTAAAACAAAAAACATTCGAACTAACAAAATCATTCTAAATGCTTCATATTTCAGTTTCTGCTGCGGAACTATTACTTATTGTGAGTTCAGTAACCAAGTTTACTTTAATGAATCACAGAGTGATGTACCAAATCTAAGATTTTAAATAAAAATTCTCTTTGAAATGAAGAAAGTGGAACAGCTCTGGATTAATTGAAAGAAGCGTAACAATGAATTGACATTGTCAAAGTTTTATGGAAAAAAATCTACTTTTGAGTGATTCTATGTTGTCATATTACAACAATTTCTAAAATCCATGTTAGAAAGAAGTCAGGAAGTGATTATCAAAGTTGTACAGAGATGACTAGTTAGTTTATTAGAAAGTGAAGCTACTTACGCTGATAACATTACTTAGAAATACAATATGCGATAAGTAACTGCTTTCCATGTTACATTCCAGCCTATGCTTCACTGTTCAGATGTTGGCAAGATGAGATAACATGTTATCCAAACTTGATTCACATCAAAGTTGTCTATACAACTTTAAGCTACATGGAAATATATGTAGTTTTCTAGTCTATTGCAAGACACATGAATACTTCATTATTATATGAACAGCGACTCCTTCTTTTAAAAAAACTGAGACTTTCCTTAGGGAATTAAGGGATTTCCTGAATTTCACTCATATCAAGTGTTGTTTATGAAAAGAACAAGTTCCAAAATTGTAATCCAACTGGTCACTAGAAGCACCCATGTTTCGTCCCGCTTGGGACTCGTCAGCTGTATGTACCTCCACTTTAGTGACTGGTACTGTCCCCACTGAGATTTGAACCCAGTATCCATAGCCTCAAATACGAAAGCTTTATCCACTAGGTCACTGGGGTATGACAGTCAACTCTCGTAAAATGGGTATCGCTTGGTGTTTATTGATACTTGTAATCTCTCGTTGCCACACTGGATCGAATAATTTACTTATTTCTTTGAAACAGTCTTCCGAAACAGAACAGTGTACCGTTTTTAAATGCCGATATGTTGTGAAATATATGAGGAAGGATAACATTTTAAAAAGTTATCTAAAAATTAAAACAGGTCATCATAGTTAAGTGGGAATGCCAGAATGAAATTCAAGCGGTGTACAAATGTTCGACTTACCAGTCTCCGTTTAGGCTTGATCAATGGACGATTTTGACCATTCATCTTCTGATATAATCCACAAGCATTACATAGGTAATTGCCTTGACCATCTCTTCTCCATAATGGGGTACTTGTAGCACCACAGTTTACGCATTCTCTTCCCTCTATTGATGAATAAAGAATACATAATACCTTGTTTACATAGTGTTTAGTCGATATTAAGGAAAATAAATTGATTATAAAAATAATCATAGTATGAGTCTACTCAATAGTACACGTTCATCTGAACAAGCATCAAACACAGGTCCTTCAAGTCTCCTGATAAACTCATTAATCACTCAGTCATGGGTGCGTATTGCTGATGAGTTGCATAGTAGGACGAAATAGTTATTAAGTGGCCACAGGTTTTCAGTGATTCTCTAACTGGTATCAATCAACTGCAGTTCTGATAATCTGCTGGCGATGGCTAGTGAAATCCACGACCCACGTTTCGTCCTGTTTAAGAACCATCAGCTCAGTACGAATGGTGTTCTTTCTATTGAGAAGTGAGCCCGCTTCAAACACCAAAGCGTTATCCAGTAAGCTACTAAGCTACGTTTTGTGTAACGAGTGTGAGTTATCATTATTTCCTGTTGTGACTCTAAATCGCGTCGATCAATATCTGTTGGTATATGAGCTTCTATGCAGACACCATCTCCTATAAATGTACAACTAGGAGTGGATATATGCTTTCTCATCATTTAGCAAATATGTCTTATTTCGTCATCAGAACTTATCAGTGTTTTGCGCCATTTTGAATTCATATAGTTTTTCAATCATCCAAATAGATGCCATGATAGAGGCGGTTAAGAGAATAAACCTTTAAGTATCAGTATTTGTAAACTTTGACTGGTGTACCAAAGGATATTCTCCTGGATACCAACTTGCCATAAACTTGCCAGTCACCTCATGTTCAATAGTTCAACAACTTTATGAAAGTCTTATGTTGTATCAAGAAGCCTTGTTATAATAAATTAACCAATCGTAATCTTGACAATCTTTTTCAGGAGCTACTAGAAATTCAACTGGACAGCTGTAACTGGATGCCATTAATAATCATTTGATCACAAAGGAGAAAAGAATTGATATCACAGACATGTGACCCAGCACCTAATACATTCAATCAATGCAACAGAATCAGCCTGGAAATATCCTGTTAATTTGAGAGCAGTCGAGTTGAAAATAACAAAATCTGGTACCATTCCATTTTAGGTGCAACTTCAGCTGGAGTACTAGAACAGAATGCCAGTTGCTTAAGCTACTGTTACATCTATACGCCAAGGCTTCAACTATCAATAGTCCTAATCAGTATAGGCTGTTATTACTTATAAAACCCACAGAAAACTTGTCTGTAGCTACATGCATACCCATACAAACACACACATATGTATATGTTGAGACGATGGAGGAAGAAGAACACAATAAGGCATGAAATTCACTTGTAAAATGTCATTTGTTTGTTTTTCTACTCTTAAAACTAACCTGTAACTGTAAGCTTTTTATTCTTCATTGTTTTATTCATATTATGTGAGTTATTCATTGAATTAGGATTATTTACAAGAGGAAATAATCCAAGACTTTGATTCATTATATTATATTGTGATTGATGTAATCCATTGTTACCATTACTATTGTTAGTTGAAGTCATACCATAGTGTTCTATATGTGGATGCATTATGGAATGTTCATTTTCAGTGAACTGTGATTGTTGTTGGGATTGTGATTGTAAGTGTTGATGATGATGGTGTTGCTGTTGGTGGTGGTGATGATGATGGGAAAGGGAGTGTTGATGAGAATGATTACTTTGATGCTGTTGATTTTGATGACCTGTCACATTTGCACTGGCTACAGCAGCTTGTGCAACGACAGCTGCTGCTGCCATGGCTGCAGCTGAATGATAAGCTGCGCTTATATCATCAATCATTTGACCTTCTTGTCTTTGTTGTTGTTGTTGCTGCTGTTGTTGTTGTTGTTCATGGTGCTGAGGCTGATGCTGATATGATAGTTTGCATACATCTAGGCTATTCTGTAATAATGGATCATTCATCATCCGTCTTGATTGTTGTTGAGGTTGTATTGTATTGAGGAATTTTGAACCGATCTTTGACTCATTTGCTTCACTATTGTGATTATTATTGTTTCCAGTAAATTTGACTTCATCAGAGGACAATTTATTGAAATTATTTAGAAATTCTATTTCACTGGGAACCATAGCAGAAGAAGAGTTATGCTCCACACTAGTCTGTAGTGTTGACAACGGTGGTGATGAAGACGATGTTGATGTATGCCGCCCAGATTCTGACTGATGATAAATTGAATAATTTGTTGTCTCCATATTGTTATTATGATGTGTATTTAACAATAGACTCTGTCTTAAAGCAAGTTCATTAGAACAACTTGAATAGAATGATGCTAAATGCTGTGGTAGAATATTCTGTGGATACTGTGAATGCATAGATGTATTCCATACATCTGATTCAGATTCTGTATGTGTATGCGTTGAATGATCATTCACTTGTCTATCTATACTAGTCGCACTATTCGCAGAAACACCACCTGCATCATGATTGCTTGAAGGCATTCTTCCTTTATAGGTTTGTTCCTCTACCACTGAATTATTGGCATACTCAGTATGATTAAGCCGTGATGAGTAATTCATATTGATAATATTGTTCAATGACTGCTTAATACTATTATTTGTTGTTAGTTGTTGCTGACACTGATCATCATGACGTGAAGCTGGTTGACAAGGATCATATTGTCTAAGTGATGTAGAACTATAACGGTTATTATAATCTCTTGTTGATATAGAATTGGAGGAAGCATCACCTCTGGCTGAAAACATACTGAATGGATAATTCATTGCTTCCTGACCAGTATCATCAACATTTGCAAAGCTGTTAGACACTTCTTTGATATCAGATGATCTTATCTTTGAGAGTGAATTTGTACATGATACCGACGAATGTGAAGAACTCATCTTGTTTAATATATCTTTCTCTTGTTCTGATGCCACAGTGACCCCAATTGACATTCCAGTTACTGTTGTTTTCATATCACTAGGAAGTTCACTTAATTTATGATAGACATCACTTTCAACTGGTTTATCCATGTATAATGAATGTGGTGATGCCTTTGCAGACGGTACACATTCTACATTCGATTTATTTCTTATCAAATTATTTTCTGTAGGATTAACGGAATGACTTTTTGATTTTTTATGTCTTTTTCTATGATCACGAGACCAATTTTCATGATTTGTAATGCTCTGAATTTCATTCTTCTCTGTAACAGATAACACTGAAGGAAATTTACATGATTGTGACAGACAGTCAGATTTTTCAATCACCTCTGTTTCTGATAATTTGTTAACTATGTTTAACTGAGATTTTTCACTGGCTGAATGTGAATCTATACTATTGTGAGCATTGATATTAGTCATGCCAACAATACTGTTATCTCCACATTGACTCAAAACTTCTTCACTAAGATAATTTGTCTGATTATGATGCTGTTGTATTCGATAGGTTTGATTAAGGCCACAATTATAGCCAGATCTTGAAAGAAAATTTGAAGCTCCATTAAATATTCCGGATGAATTATTTACTGAACTATGATTTAAAGATGAAGAATTATGATTACTATACGCTAGTGAATCACAGTTCAACCCAGATCCAATACTTTGAAGTGAACCCGGATTAGGCCATATTAAATCTGTTGATGGTCGTCCACAGTTAACTGGATTCAATGGAAATGCTGTCATAGGAAACATTCTACAAATAAGTATAGTGGAAACAAGAAAATAAATATCAATTTAACGGACACATTCTGTGTAGAAACTGGTAAACCATTTCTCATACAGATTTCAGAAGTTAAACAATTTTAAAAGTTAATTATGAACAGTTCACAGCAGAATTCGAAACAGCGATCTCTGGGTTATCAGGGGATTTTTGAAACCCATTTGATAGGGTGTGGGTTGTTGAGTAACCTCAAAACCACTAGTTTGAATGCTTTCGCGAACCATATTTTAATTTAACTTGCAGTCATCACCTAGTTTCACTAATACAAACCTACCAAACTATGGCTATCTCAGATGGTTAAACTGATCATTTTAGGCATAAAGTGATTTCTGTTTATTGATATGCTTGTAATTATGTGTTGCTTTACTGCATCGAATTGTTCTATCTTTTACCACATAGGAGTCCATACGGTAATAGAGGTTCAACAATTCGGTCCAGTAAAACAACGAAGAATTAGAAGCATATTAATACATAGTAATAACTAACACCTGTTGTACAAGAGGTGAATATCGTGCCTTCGTGGCCTAGTGGATAACGTCTTGGTGGTTGAAGCGATGGGTACGAGGTTAGAGTCTCAGAGGGAACAACATCACTGATTGAAGCAGGTACATCCAGCTGACAAGTCTGTAATAGATATCTCTCTTGAACACAATCAAGTAGATTATCATAAAGCAATTTCGGTAATTTATTTGGTCGTAGCCAGCAGAAGAATCCAGAACGCGCATTTCATAATATTTAGGATTTGTCTGCAGGATGACGTAACGACTTAACAAGTCCTATTATTATTATCATTATTATTACTATTATTATAGTGATAATAATTAGTCTCTTGTGTAATTAACAATTGAACTCATGATAATCATCCTCTATCATATCACATAATTGACTTCATATTATTTTCCGAATGTGGACACCTATGAGAAAATTATAACCTTTTATTTTTATCATATTTCTGAATAAAGCTATTCAACTTGTTCACAGAACATCTTATCACACTTATCTTTTACATCTTTCCTTACACACACACACATACACACACACAGGGATCCTTTACTATCATAACTGAGTAGGAAGTTGCTGATTTACATTCACTTGACAATCCATTTTAATCGTAACTTATGATTGATGGTTGGTTGTAAGGAGAAAAAACGACTAATTTAAGTGATTCCCCCAGAGAAGTAAAATCTGTCAGACCTAAGAAATAATCACTTTCATTCGATACTTTCCATTTGCTGATAATTGGTGGAGTAAAATAACGGTTTAAGTTATGAATAAAAATTATGATTGACTTTAATCTACTGTTAAACATCAACTTAATGATTCTCGAAAATGTTAGCTGGTTGGAGGTAATCGGCAGGAAGACCTAGACCTAGGTTTCATGCTTGTTGCCACTCATCAGCAAGGTATATCTGCAACCTCGACGGAACTGATGTCCCGCCTAAGTTTCGAATCCTCGTCACCTAGTATTACAGTCGACGACTTCACCACTGAGCTATTCGGGCCGTGATTGACCTTTTGTAGGACTAAGTTACATATATTCTTGAAACTTTGACAGACAGGTGATGTTGGGAGGTGAAATGAAAAACTGGGCAGCAGGAGGATTCGAAGTAGCAACCTCTACGTTACTTGACAGTCGTAAGAAGAGTGAGTAAAATGATTTTATTAAACAGAGAATGCAGACTTTCATAGGAAAATAAACAGAAACTTAATATTAGAATAGACTCATTCCTTCACTTTACATAGAAGTATGTTGTATATTAATCGAAATAATACTTTGAAAACTAACTTAATGCTTATTCTGCTGGATAACTGAAGTATTTCAAGTTGCAGCTTCCCTGTGTTCACTGTGTTTATAAGTTACACTGTCCTTGATTGTACTTCTGTAATAATCTTCTACACACTTAAATGATACTACGAGTATATATATATATATATATATATATATATATATATATATATATATATATAGTGGCAACAAGCATGAAACCTAGGTCTAGGTCTTCCTGCCGATTACCTCCAACCAGCTAACATTTTCGAGAATCATTAAGTTGATGTTTAACAGTAGATTAAAGTCAATCATAATTTTTATTCATAACTTAAACCGTTATTTTACTCCACCAATTATCAGCAAATGGAAAGTATCGAATGAAAGTGATTATTTCTTAGGTTTGACAGATTTTACTTCTCTTGGGGGAATCACTTAAATTAGTCGTTTTTTGTCCATCCACAAATCTGAATCCTGTAGTAGAAACAAAATTTACTGTACACATAGAATTTCTGTGTGTTCTTTTCAATAGGCTGTTTGATATTTTAGTTTTCTAGGTTTTCCTTGATTTCTCAGGTCAATCTAACGTTAGGTTTCATGAGAATGAGTTCTCTTTAGGCGCATATGCCTGAAAAGGGCGTACACATCAGCCATGCATTCCTACTAACACAGAAGGCTTTAGTGACTCGGTTAACTACCTTCATCTCCTTAGCGGGGACAGCAACGAGTTCCCTACCTGGGTTATCTCGCCCAAACCAGTTGAATTGGACATTCATTGCTAAACTAATATCAGCTTCTTCCCACTGTGGCTAGGCAGCGGCACTCAGGCATTTCAGTCATTGCTGCCTGGATGGTTAGCAGGTACCTTCAGGCTTTTAACTGTAGATAAGCCTAAGACATGTTCATAGATGAATTCTATTATTAACAGGACTTCAATTATCCGACAATTACAAGTTTGAGAGGTTGGTGAAATCTACTCCTATAAGATTTCAAACATCCAAGTAGATGTCCCCTTCAGTAAAATCTTTACTAAACAAACAATCAACCAACATTTTGGCTAACGGAATGAAATTTTTACTAAACTGAACCATACGCTCCCTCACCTTTTTCACTGATTATTCTCAATATTAAATACCTAAATTTAACAAGAACTTGCTTTTCACCATGAAAATAGAGGGAAAAATAGGTTGTTGATAGCTATTAGAGAAAAGCAGAGGTGGTATATATGCGTGTGTGCGTGTGTGTTTACATCCAAGTGAACGAAAAGAGAGGAGTCGACAATGGCAATAATAATTCCTTCCCTTAAAAACTGCCTGTCATTTTATCATTCAATGCAATCAGGATCGAAGACTGAACGGAAGGAAATGAATGTGTTTCGTAAATAACAACATTTTCTTTTTGACACAAATTTTCTTGTCAACTCAAATATGATCAATCATGTAATAGTGAGCAGTAAATATATGTTTAACCGTTCACCTACTGGTATAATTGTAAGCGTGTTTGTGAGTGAGTGTGTTCATCTTTACCACCTTTATTTTATGAACACATCAAATGTGTGTTCCAGATAACAAGATGTAGAAGTTATTCCTCCATTATGCTATACCTATATGAACTTGTTTTGTTAGGATAACTTAACTGGACAACGAGAAACATCACTGACGAAATCGAAGCAGTACTCCATGTTTTTCAATGACTCAATGCCGAATGACATGATAAAATTCCACATAAACTATTCCCTTGAGTAACTGTGAGGTTATAAGTATGAATTTTTATACGCGTATTCACTAAGCATATTATGCTGAATTAATGTTCCTCTCAGGGTGGCATTCATCACAGCTGGAGAACCAACGAAAACCCATGAGCAGCTGACAGAGCTTTTTCCTCCTGGTATGGAACTCGCCAGTAGTGCTCATTCAGGATCTCCAGATTTCGGTGGTTTAGTGTTTTCTGAGTTTTGATAAAATTTTCTCATGGACGTTTTATCATCAGCCTTGATGACATCTTCAACATTTACTTCTTTATGAAGTCAGTACACATTCAAGAACTTCGGATCTCATGACGATCATAACTACTGCATTGAAATCTAATGAAATAAACAGTTGTTCAGTGCTTCAAGAATTAAACAGGTTTAATCTTAACAAAATGCAAAAGACAGTTTGATTAAACTCCTTTTTAGCTGTTAATTTTGACCAATGAATTTTCAAGAAATTTTAGTCAATCCCCATAAACCTACAAACTGAATTACACTATACTGCTCATTTAATGACATGTTTCAAGACGACGTTTCCCAAAGTTCTAATGAGAAGTGGTGACCGGTAGAGCCAACCAAGTCGGACGTGTGTATAGGCACTCAACAATGATATTCGATGGAGGTCATGCTATATCGTGAACTGAAAGAAATGGGGAATATGAACCACCGGATGCTAATTCAGTGGCTCAATGATAACATGCTGGCCGTGAAAACTGAAGGTCCTGGGTTCGATCCCTTGCGGGGTCATGGGAGCTCACTGGTGAAAAGTCTTATACTAGGACAGAACAGCTTTCCAGTGTTTTCAGGTTTCTATAATGAGTATCAACTTGAGACCAATAAATAAATCCCTACAAACCTCCGACTTCAGTATAAAAAACTTTAAAAGGCGGTAAAATGTCATTGACTTAGGTTTTTCTCAGTGTTCACTATGGTGGTATGGATCGTAAATAGAAATGGGAACTATACCATTAGGTTGAATTTATCGTTACCTGTTTTCTAAAAGCAATTACCGTCTATAATATCAACAGCTAAGAAGTACTTATAACATGCAAGTCGCCAAAGAGATGCATAGCTTTATTTCGGTGGATCAAGCACAGTAATATCAACAAACTACTAACGAGAAGTTGGAGTATCAACAATCCATTTTAAATCACTAACTACTGTTGTACAAATTCGAAGACGCTATTGAATGACTTTTGAAATAGTACCAGTCTCTTACAGAAAGATACAGTGGTTTTCACTCACGAAGCAAAACAACAACAACTCAGGAACCATCAGGAATTTAACGATTGCAAGTAGTATTTATGTCAAGATATCTGATCTGTTCATCAATCTCAGCATAACTCTACTGAAGGACTTAGATGAAGGAAAAGAAATGCTCATGTGTAATCGTCTAGCCATCTAGACATAACGCAGTCTATAGAATACACTACTCCACCTGGCTACTCTGTTCGTTCT